TTAAATTTGGAAATGACATACCTCAAGTATTAAATACTTTCCACTTCACCCCTGTTTGAGGGCCATGTTTAGCCTCCTCTTCCTACTTAAAATGGTAATCCACCCCATACCACCCCCATGAGGAAGCTTTTGGGTAGAAAAGCATGTGGAGTAATAGGTTGATGGTTTTCAACCTTTAGTGTGCATCAGAACCATCTGGAGGGCTTGTTAAAACAAATTACTGGGCAGGAGTTTGAGTGGGTCTAGGTGGAGTCTGATAATTTGCATTACTAACACGTTTCCAGGTGGTGTTGCTAATTTGGGAACTGCATTATGGGAACCACTGTAAAAGGTAACGGATTGGATATTGCTGTGGAATACAAATTCTTTTTTTTTTTTTTTTTTGAGACAGAGTCTCGCTTGTTGCCCAGGCTAGAGTGAGTGCCGTGGCGTCAGCCTAGCTCACAGCAACCTCAAACTCCTGGGCTCAAGCGATCCTTCTGCCTCAGCCTCCCGAGTAGCTGGGACTACAGGCATGCGCCACCATGCCCGGCTAATTTTATATATATATTAGTTGGCCAACTAATTTCTTTCTATTTATAGTAGAGACGGGGTCTCGCTCTTGCTCAGGCTGGTTTCGAACTCCTGACCTCGAGCAATCCGCCCGCCTCAGCCTCCCAGAGTGCTAGGATTACAGGCGTGAGCCACCGCGCCCGGCTTGGAATACAAATTCTTTAACGAGTTAAAGATACTAGTATGAGCCCATGTAACTGCCTCAAATGTTTAATACTAATGTGTCTTTAATGCTTTAGGGTATGAGGGGAGCCTCGAATCACCTAACAACTCCCTTCTGTAGTGGTTTTGATTAGTACATCTCCGGTTCCGACTATCTAGAATTCCCAATAAATATTAATTCATTTCACAGAAAGCTAATAAGCGCCGTCTCCCTGAGGACGGCATTTTAGAGCAGAGAGGCTGCACCGGCCTCCCAGCCTCAGCCCCTCTGCCGTCTACCACCCGAGGGGCCCCGGGATTGCCCCGGAACTGCCGCATCTTCCTAATTGACTTGCCAGAGCCGAAAGGGGATGAGGGGTGGTCCCTGGGACCTAGCAACGTGATAAAACCAGCTGCGCCACCGAAGAGAGGGGCTTTTCCCGCAGGTGGGGTCGAGGGGCGGGACCAGGCGAAAGTGCCCGCTCTCGCCGCCCTCGGGCTCGGGGGCGTTCCCGGTTCCGCTGCTACGGTCTCGGGCCTGCGCGGTGGCCCCGGCGCCCCGCCCTCCCCGGGCCCGCCCCGGCTCCATCTTGCGAGCGAGCTGGTTGGGCTGTGACGCTGCTCCCGGGGTCAGGTGAGGAACGGCGCCCCCTCCCTTTCGCACCCCCCTAGTCCGCCCCGGTCACCTCGCCCCCAGGCCGCTCTGCGGGCTGCTGTCTCAGGATGGCGGGGCCCTCCCTGCCAGTGCCCCGCGCCCGGGCGCAGCGGAGGTGCTCTGTGGGCCTCCTGGGTGGTGGAGACTCGGTGTGGGCGTCTCGGGACCCGGGAGCCGGGCTGGGCGCATTGGGTGGGACGGGTGGGGCGGCCGGGCAGCGGACGGGAAGACGACGAAGTCCTGTCGGTCGGACCTCTGGGCCACTGGGTGGTGCGGAGATCCGAGTGACGCCGTGCCTTCAAGCAGGTGGACCCCAGGTGGACGTGCTGAGGCTAGAGGGTAGCCCTGCTGAAGCGACTTCAGAGGGAGGCTGAGTAGGGAAACCAGCGAGCAGAACCAAAAGCTAAGCCTGGCCGGTGACTAGACTTTCCAGTGACGCAGAGAATTTAGGGAAACTTGGGAAATTTGTATTGTGCTTAGTGAACGCTAGGGCAGAACGCACAAACCTTAGGTTACTCAGATTTACAATTCTTGGAAACAGTTTTGGGGGCGCATTCCAGTTTAGATTCTTGTTCCCTGACCAGCAAACCTGTGGTGATACTAGTCCATCTCCAAGGAAACCAAGAAACAGAGGGAGATGGCTGATGTCCACCATAAAGTGACAGAAATGAAGATGTATCTTCCGGCTGCCTTTTTTTATTAAGAGAAAAAGGACTTTATTGCAAGCTGAAAGGAAGTGAAAATAGACTGCAAGGTGCAGAGTGGGCCATTGTCTGCATGGTCTCTGGTCTTCTGACTGTCTTTAAACTCCCTAATTTCTGCCAGCTGGTAAGGAGCTAATCTGCTAAAGTAATCTGTCCTAATTAGGCAAGGAGTGTAATGAGTTACCCATCAGGCAATGAAGGGGTTTCAAGCACCAGATAAGGCACCTTAGATAAGGAGCTAGTTTTGGCCACTGTAAACTTAAGCCATCTTTCAGTCCTCACTGGTGGGTGGGTGGCAGTCTCTACCTGTCCCTGCAGAATCCTAGCCATGCCTCATTCTTTATCCAAATTGCTGTCTGATTTAAATGGCCCTTCTAGACCTAGAGGCTAGTTTTGGAAAATCTTAGCTGCTGATGTCCATCTTCAGCCCTCCTTCCTGTTTCCTGCCCTTCCCCCCCCCCCCCCCGCAATTTGCAACAGCTGCTATTTCCTGGGCTTCATGCCATCTATGAGACACCTATAGTGAGACCCAACCCTTTGACTAGCCGACTCACTGGGTGGAGATGGTTTGGAGAACCAAGAATGATTTTCGAAGTGGTTGTGACAGAAAATGTTGAAAAGAAAAGCTCTGGTTCACCAGTCTGGTCTTACTCCCTTGAGTAAAGTTGAGTAATTTGTTGAGTCATCCTGGGGTTTGTTTAGCTTTTTTTTTTTTTTTTTTTTTTTTCTTTTAGCACTTAATTGCCACTTGTATGTTTAGCTTTTTACAAAAACTTTTTTAAAAGTCTACTTTTTGAATAGATGATGTGTGCACCATTCTGAAAGGACTAAAGGTACATTGAAAAGTAAGTCTCATTGTGCCCCAGCTCTCCTCCTAGGAGGCAGCCACTGTTTGCTACCTCAAGTATCTTTTCAGGGATATTCTATACATATACGTCAGATCCCACAAGTTGAAGGCTCAGTCCCACAAGACTGAACACCCTCCCTGGCCAATCAGTTCCGAGTCTGATCAAAACTTCTGACGACTGGGTTCCGGTTGGGGTTCCACAACCCCTCTTTGTGTTCAACTAATTTTCTAGAGCAGCTCACAGAATTCAGGCAAACGTGTTTACCAGTATATTACGAAGAATATTACAAAGAATACAGATGATGCATGTGGAGAGCTTTGGAGGAAGGGATGCAGAGCTTCCATGCCCTCTCTGAGAGCGCAACCCTTGAGCAACCTTCACGTGTTCAGCTCTCTGGAAGCTCTCTGCACCCTGTCCTTTGGGGTTTTGTGGAGGCATCATTACATACCGTGTGACGATTAATTAAAGCACTGGTGATCAACTTAACCTTCAGCCCCTCTCCCCTCTCTGTAGGTGGGGGGGGGGTTCTGAAACTCTCAACCCTCTAATCCATGGTGGACTTTCTGGTGATCAACCCTGTCCTGAAGCTACCTAGCCATCAGTCAACTCATTAGGATACAAAAAGGTGTCACTTAGGACATTAAGGATTTTAGGAATTGTATGCCAGGTTTTGTAGAGGGGTGTGGGGGTCTCTATGTGTTGCCCAGGTGGATCTGAAACTCCTGGCCTAAACAATCCTTCTGTCTTGGCCTCTCAAAGTGCTGGCGTTACAGGTGTGAGCCACTGCACCTGGCTATCTGCTTTTAAATGTTTGAAATTTTTTACCATGAGGTCAATAAACAATTGCAAAATAAAATAGTAAAAACACTTAAAAGATTACTGGAAAGATTTAATAGTCACACGTTGATATTCAGAAACTGGCTGGGCATGGTGGCTCACACCTGTAATCCTAGCAATCTCGGAGGCTGAGGCAGGAGGACTGCTTGAGGTCAGGAGTTCCAGACCAGACTGAGTAAGAGTGAGACCCCCTTTCTACTAAAAATAGAAAGAAATTAGCTGGCTGTGGTGGTGCATGCCTGTAGTCCCAGCTACTCAGGAGGCTGAGGCAGGAGGATCACTTGAACCCAGAAGTTTGAGGTTGCTGTGAGCTAGGCTGATGCCATGGCACTCTAGCCTGGGCAACAGAGTGAGACTCTGTGTAAAAGAAAAAAAAAAAAAGTTACTAAGAAGGGTGATAATGACATGCCTATATAGGTTATTTTTTAAGTACAGTACATCATGACATCGAAACATGGTTATATTTTTACAGCAGCCTTGTTAATCATTTTTACAAAGTCTTTGTTTCTAGAGATATATACTGGGGTGTATATAGGTTAAAAGGATATAATGTCTGCAATTTGCCTCAGAATAATCCAGTGGAGTGGTGGGGAGTCAGTGAGAGTATTAAAGAAACAAGATTGTCTATGAATTGGTAGTTGTTGCAGTTGGGTGATGGATCCATGGGTTTATCTTTACTTTTGAATAAGCTTGAAAGTTGCAATAATCAAAAGTTAAATAAAATGCCAGGGCTTAATCTGGGTATGTGTGACTCTAGAATGTTAACTTTTAACCGTTATACCATTGTTTCTCATAATATGGTTTCACCATACAAGGGGATTTCTGTGGCACCTAGAAAGCATTTTTTATTTTAATAGTTATGTATTCATTTTAGTATTACCATCTATTTGTGGCAAGAACCCTATGGTAAGTTTTCCATTTATGCAAGTGGTATGAAACAAATTTAAGTAAAATATTAATCCGCTTAAGAAAAATATTAAATAATAGTACCAGTAAATTGAGGTATGACAAAAATTGTGTGTTATGACAAGGAATTTGGAACTTTTGCTATACCAACTCCATTAGCTCTAATGGAGCTCAAATGGTGAAATGAAAAAGTATTTTATAAGGTTCTACCACCAGTATCCTTGTTTTAGTACCTGACAGACTCTTTGGAAAGAAGGAATATTTTGCATAAAACCTTGTGTTGTGTGTCTATCTGTATATCTTCAAAATCCTTAACCCCTTATAGGAAATTACAGAGGACATGTTTTATTGTTACAGAATGTCGTACCCAGGCTATCCTCCTACAGGCTACCCACCTTTCCCTGGATATCCTGTAAGTATTGCCGCTTATATTATTAAAATAACTCATGTCCTCGAAACAGGTGGTGTATAGGAGTAGCCCATTACTGATCTTACAGATATGCTAGATCAGAGGTACTGTGTAGAATAAGTGAGTGAAGGCAGGGGTTATGGGGGAACTCAGAAGCACTCGCCTCATCCACACCCAGCTGTAGCTTGATTCGGCCGTGCAGGGAGGCCATCCCAGTGTTGCTAGATACTCTAATTCTTCAGGTAAAGCCAGGAACCTGGATTTTATGCAAAATTGCCCCAATTTTGTTTTCTTTTGGTGGAGGTGCTGGGGATTGAACCAGGAGCCTCATGCACCAAATTTTTTAAAATGTGGAAGTTTTTAAAAACATTAAGTGCTATATGAGCCAATAAGACATTTATGTAAGCTAAGTGCATGCCATGAATCAGTAGTTTTTAGCCTTCGTGTTGGAAGGTTATTAAAATAATTAAGAAGGGCTTGACTCAGTAACAAACTACAGTGGATCAGAGGGCCCTGGATTTTGTGGTTCTGAGATTTTTAGTATTTGGAGTACATTTTATAAATGTGCTACAGACTTCCACCTTGTTGATAGCTGTACTACTGTGAGGACTCAACTGAGAGCTGAGGCATAGTAAGAATTAAGCATTTCAGTTTCATACTCTTAAGTATGAAGTGCTGCTATCTAACGCTGGGAGAATAGAAAGAGGCCTATACAGGTTAATGATAATATGTGTATACTCATGCAAAGTGAATAGATAGCTGTTGTGAATTTATCATAGGAGAGATGAGTGCTATGAATATGTTCCCAAGTCCCTGTGTACTAAACTGAACTCTGGCAACCATTTCAGTCAGTGTAGGTGCTGAAACAGACAACCCCCAAACCTCAGTGGCTCATCACAATAAAAACATGTTTCTTGCTTGCTTCAGTCTCCTGGAAGTTAGTGGTGCGGTAGGAGTTGGGTGGGAGGGGGCTTTGTTTCATGTAGTAGTTCAGGTTCCCAGACTCCTCCTTTGTTTGATTTTATAATACCACCCTTTGGTGCCTTAGAGTCTTCCACTGCATCCTCTACTTATAGCTGACAGATGAAGGAAGAGAGTGAGCATAGAGGATTTTTTTATTTTTATTTTTTTTTTGAGACAGAGTCTCACTTTGTTGCCCAGGCTAGAGTGAGTGCCATGGAGTCAGCCTAGTTCACAGGAACCTCAAACTCCTGGGCTGAAGTGATCCTCCTGCCTCAGCCTCCCGAGTAGCTGGGACTAAAGGCATTGCCACCATGCCTAGCTAATGATATATATTAGTTGGCCAATTAATTTCTTTCTATTTCTAGTAGAGATGGGGTCTTGCTCTTGGTCAGGCTGGTTTTGAACTCCTGACCTCGAGCAGTCCGCTGCTTGGCTTCCCAGAGTGCTAGGATTACAGGAGTGAGCCACCCCGCCCGGCCGAGCATAGAGGATTTTTTTTTTTTTTTTTTGAGACAGGGTCTCACTTTGTTGCCCAGGCTAGAGTGAGTGCCGTGGCGTCAGCCTAGCTCACAGCAACCTCAAACTCCTGGGCTCAAGCGATCCTCCTGCCTCAGCCTCCGAAGTAGCTGGGACTACAGGCATGCACCACCATGCCCGGCTAATTTTTTTTGTATATATATTTTTAGTTGGTCAATTAATTCTTTCTTATTTTAGTAGAGACGGGTCTCGCTCAGGCTGGTTTCGAACTCCCAACCTCGAGCAATCCGCCCGCCTCGGCCTCCCAGAGTGCTAGGATTACAGGCGTGAGCCACGTGCCGGCCTAGCATAGAGGATTTGGTCAGAGGTTTTTAGGGGCTAGGCTGGAAGTGGTGTACATCACTTCTGTGTATGTTTATTCACTGGTATTCAATCATGGTCCTACCCAACTATTAGGGGGTCAGGGAAATGTAGCGTCTCTAGCTTTATGGCCTGGAAGAAAGAGTTTAGTGAGCAGGTAACAATCTCTGCCACTCTTAGACATTTTGTGGTCTGAACCGTGAAGTCCAAAATGTCACACTCTGTTTGTGACTCAGGTCATTTTTTTTTTAAACATTATGCAGCAAATCCAGGTATGTTGTAAGAAAGCTATGAATTCCTCTTTTTTTTGAGACAGTATCTCGCTCTGTTGCCCGGGCTAGAATACTGTGGTGTCAGCCTAGTTCACAGCAACTCCTGGGCTCACATGATCCTTCTGCCTCAGCCTCCCGAGTAGCTGGGCCAGAGGCTCACACCACCACATGTGGCTAATTTTTTTCTATTTTCAGTAGAGACAGGGTCTTGCTCTTGCTCAAGCTGGCTTTGAACTCCTCACCTCAAGCAGTCCTCCCACCTCAGTCTCCCAGAGTGCTAGGATTACAGGCGTGAGCTACCACACCGGCCGCTGAATTCCTCTTTAGGGTAGAGAGAGGAGGATCTTTCTCATGTTTCCAGATGCCTGGAAAATGAAGGAACTGATGAGGTTTGTTAGTTGTTCCTGCCGCCTTGAGGTTTGTAAAGAACCTGGTTCCAACTGCCAAATAGAGAAAAAAAGAAAAAACAAAAAACCTCTTTGCCTGACCCAAGTAGAATTAAATTTAGCCTTATTCTGGCAAACAAGTGTCCTGAGAAAGTAGTATACCTATGAACCAGAATAAGACCCCAAGATTTCTCATAGGACTTTAAAAAAGTTAAAGAACAAGCTATTCCTTAATAGTAATCTCTGTTCTTTATTTGTAGATGGGTCATATTTCTTTATGATCACATTCATTTAAAATTATTCTCATTTTCAGCCTGCAGGTCAGGAATCATCTTGTCCCCCTCCAGGTCAGTGTCCTTATCCTAGTGGCTTTCCTCCAGTGGGAGGAGGTGCTTACCCACAAGCGCCCAGTAGTGGCTACCCAGGAGCTGGAGGCTTCCCTGCACCTGGAGGTTCTCCATCCCCTGGAGGCTGTCCTGGTGCCCCACAGCCAGGGGGAGCTGCATCCTATCCCGGAGGTGAGTTCTGGCTGTGGCACTAGTAATGATTTGGGACTGTTGTAACACTTTCCTTCTGTCCTCGAATCCTGTTCATTCTTGCTTGTTTTGTCTGAGGTCAGAGTCGCTCTTAACTACCCTTAGACAGTAAGGGACCTAGCTGGCACAATAGAGGGATAAAGTTCTCAGGGGGCATGAAAGCTGGGAGCAGTTTGCAAAATTCCGTTGTGAAGGGAAATGCAATAAACTTAATGGTAATAAAGGACCAATATATAATCCTTTGGTTATTTGTAACCTTTTTTTGTTTGTTTGTTTGTTTTTTTTTTCTTTTTAACATACCAAACATCTGTTTCATGTTTGTTTGTTTTTTAAATGGAGAAGTGGTTGCTTCATATGGTTATTTGTAATCTTATGACCTGATTAAGACACTCGAATTAACATGACTCTGGCCTTTAGGACAGCTTTATCCAAAGGTTAAAAAAACAGACTTCATGCTTTTGTATTGTAAATTAATAGGAAGATGAATAAAGTAAAATTTAAAAATTTTTATCTTTTACTGGGGAAGGGATTGGTGAGAAGTTGAAGTTCTGAGTTTACACAAAAAGGGACTGCTGGTACAGCTTTAATCTCATATTTTTTCCATTGTTAACAGTAGAAATTTTTCTAAAGTTATCTCTGTAATTATGGAACTGTCACTGTAGTTGATCAAACTGTTCTTTTCTCTAGTTCCTCCCGGCCAAGGATTTGGAGTCCCACCAGGGGGAGCAGGCTTTTCTGGCTACCCACAGCCGCCTTTGCAGTCTTATGGTGGTGGGCCAGCACAGGTCCCGCTACCTGGTAGGTACCAGCTGACCACAAAAAACGACATCATGATATTTTGAGTTTTCAGTTGCCATCGAGAGAACTTAGTTTATGTTTGGGATGGTCTTCAGTAAATGTGTATGTGTTTCTACAAGTAATTTTAAATATATGTTTTCATGAAATATATTAATTTGATGGAAAAGCTTAATCAGGAAAATGAAGTAAGGACCCCTTTTACTATTAAAAAATCTGTCCCAAGGCCAAAAAGAAAAACCTTCAGGAACTTTCACTTCTCTGCTGAATCCTGTACCACAGATGAAATGACCGCCAGAATTATATCCTGATAACCATTCCAGATGGAATCAGAATTTAATCTGGTTCAAGTGTGCGTGTGGGGGGAATAAGTATTGTTTGTTAGGATCTTACGTAGAACATGGAATATTAAAACTGTTCTTGGCCGGGTGTGATGGTTCATGCCTATAATCCTTGCACTGTGGGAGGCCGAGGCGAGAGGATTGTTTTAGGTCAGGAGTTCAAGACCAGCCTGAGCAATATCGAGACCCTGTCTCTACAAAAAATGGAAAAATTAGCTGGGTGTGGTGGTATGCTCCTGTAGGCCCAGCTACTCAGGAGGCTGAGGCAGGAGGATCACTTGAGCCCGAGAGTGGGAGGTGGCAGTGAGCTATGATGATGCCACTGCACTCCAACCTGGTGACAGTGAGACCTTGTCTAAAAAAAAAAAAAAAAAAAAAAAAGAGTTCTTAGGACCAATGCTTGTTTTAGAGTCAGTAAATTATAATATTTAAAAAATGATCCTACTTAATATACAGTGTGAATGTTCTTATGTTTCCATATTTATAATGCTGTTTTCAAAAATTCGATTATGTAATGCCTATTTGTTATACATTTTTTTTTAAACACATAGGTGGCTTTCCTGGAGGACAGTATCCTGGAGGACAAGCTCCTTTCCCTGGTCAGGTATGTTCACTCCTACTTTTTTTTGTTTTTGAGACAGGGTTTCACTCTGTCACCCAGGCTGGAATACAGAGGTGCAATCACAATTCACTGTGAGCTTGAACTCCTGAGCTGAAGTGATCTCTTACCTAAGCCTTCCCAGTAGCAGTACAGGCACATGCTATCACGCCTGGCTAATTTTTAAATGTCTTTGTAGACAGGGGGTCTCTTTATGTTGCCCAGGCTGATCCCTAACTCCTGGCCTCCAGCAATCCTCCTGCCTCAGCATCCCAAAGTTTTGGGATTACAGGCATGAACCACCATGCTTGGCATAATCCTGCCATTTCAGTTCAGTCTATGTAAATGGATAATGCCCAAGAAGGGCACCACTCCTTTGCTGACATGAGAGGTTTCCATGAAGCAGAGGAAACAGTCTGTGACAATAACATAACACTTTAATCTTTGCTTCTGATAGAACTTGTGCTCTCTTTAGTCTATCTGCTTTAACCACTTCGGTACGGCGCTCACCGCCGCGAAACCTTGCCCACAGCTGGCACTCATAGTCCGCACGGTAGTTGGTGCTGTGCATTCACGGCGAATCTGTTTTGCTCTTGTGTGATGAGGAAAGCTTTAAAGCACTGAAAGCTTGTTTTACTTTACAGGCAGCTTTACTTGTAATATAAATCAGAATCGGTAACATAAACATATATGCTTTCATTACATTATTTTTAGATGTTCACAATTTTATTTTGATAAATGAAAAATTAGAAAAGTCATCTCACGGCTGTCGGCTAAAGTCGCTGTGCGTGTTCATCTGTGGCTGTTGACTATAGTCGACGCTCGTACCAAAGTGGTTAAATACGGTCCTGATGATTTTGATAAGACAAGCATAGGTCCTTCTCACAGGTGATGATGCTCATAGTTTATCCTAGAGATTCACATTGGCTCTTGGCATTGGTTTTGATTGTATTAGCTCTTCCTTGCCCTTACTAGCAGTTATAACTATGAACTTGGGCAATTTGTTGATTGGATTTCTGGCAGTGGTTTATGAAGGGTGGTTTTTGTTTTCCACTTTTACCTTTATACTTTCCACTCTTCTTTCAGATCAATACAGAGTCCTTTCCTTCCTATCCTGTTTTCTCTCCTGTTTCTTTGGATTATAGCAGTGAAGTGAGTAAGGTTTTCTAATGTTCACGAATCACTAAGTACCCTATATGTGCTTTCAGTTGTTTCTCATTTCTCATATATTTATCTCTCACTATTCCTTTAGGACTCCGATGTATCTGTTTTATCTTTATGTCCCTGTAGTAATTGGTAGGTCTTTAAACATGGTAACCAGTAGGTCTTGATTTCTTAGTAGCCCTACTGGGAAACATTTCTTATTTCATATATCAAATCTTTACCCTATCTCTGTATAGCTCCTTAACTTAATACTGTTTTATTCTTAAATTGCCTTGTTAACTTTTTAAATCTTGAAAATTTTAAATCTTGAAAGTTTTAAATCTTTAAAACTTGAATAGGAATTCAAGTTACTAGGAACATAAGCAGTATAGCTCTATGGTTACATTTGTCTTGATTTTCTTACTGACTTCCATACTGTATATTTATAAAGATCTAGCATTTTCAAGCTTGTTTTAGCCTGGGGTAGGAGAAGGATTACAGTATTGGAAGAGAAACACCTTAGTGATTTTTGTTTGTTTGTTTTTGCTCACTTTCCTGATTTTTGAGGAATTTGAGCTTTAGAGAGATTGAGAAACTTGTCTAGGACTACATAGCTACTGAAAGACAAGATTTGTAACTTTAATTTCAAAGGTTTCACCATCTTTTCTCCTACAAGTTTGGTGTCTGGCTATCTGTTAGCAGGAGAAAAATCTGTCTGAAGGAGTATAGGTCTTTCCTATTTGTTCTAGAATGAGCCCTGGCAATACAATGCTTATATCCTTGCCCTAAAACCCAAACACTGGCCTTCTTTCCTAAGAGCAATGTCTGGGGAAGTCTTTAAGTTTCTTTATTAGAAACTTATTGGAAGTCCTGACTTGGATTTTATGCCTTTTGTTCTCAGCCTGCTGTGATGAGTCAGGGCACTCAAGGAACAATCAGAGCAGCTGCCAACTTCGATGCTATGCGAGATGCAGAAATTCTCCGTAAAGCAATGAAGGGTTTTGGTAAGGAAAGCAGATTTTTGTCTTCTATATTAATAATAACTTTAAGTGATTAATTCTAAAGTAAAAATGAACTGTTAACAAACATACAAGGGGGGCTTCTCTGTTGCTTGCTCACAGAGAGCCAGTTACTGAGACAACAAGGATTGTCGAGGAAGAAAGGATTTATTACAGTGGACGTGTCCACTGGGAGGGGGAGGTATGAACTGTCTCAAATCTGTGTTCCCAGTCAACATGGTCAGGGTTTTCTGGAGGTAAAATGAATAATGCATGAGGGGAGTGAGCATCGTTACATGTTTAGGGCGGAGTAGAGGGCACTCAAGTACAGTGATAAATCATGCTACTACATATATCCTGTGATCCAAAAATGGTGGCTAAGTCCCTCCCAGGGTGGGGATTTTAGTAGTATAATGAGCTGGGTGTTAATATTGGTCATTCTTTCAGCCTGATGTGTAGGCAGGATGCAGGGAATAGGCTTCTCAGGGGGTCTTAGTATACAGTCTGTGGTGGCATCGCTTAGCTTGTCTTCTCCGGACAAACAAGTGGTGTAGGGCTTGACAAGGCCGGGAAAGAAACACAAAAGGGAATTCATCAGTGCAGCAGAAAGTTACAAAGTCCTGATCAGCAAATCTTACTGGTCTGGGAACTTGAAGCCTAAAAACTACAAAAAAACTAAACAAAATGTTTTCTTGTTTATGGAGCTGGTTATAAAACCTTATATCATAAACCAAGTTTATGTGTCAGGCTTGGTGCACACACCTCAATTTAATCTAGGGCCTAGCACCTTGTAAGCCTTCTAAGAGATACCCTCAAGGAGCAACCAGCACAGATTTTGTCACTTCTTAAACCTGTCTGGAGCTGGCTGTGAAGGCCCATGCCTGTAATCCTAGCACTCTGGGAAGTCGAAGTGGCAGGATCACTTGAGCTCAGGAGTGTGAGACCAGCCTAAGCAAAAGTGAGACTCTGTCTGTACTAAAAACAGAAAAAATTAGCTGGGTGTGGTGGCACATTCCTGTAGTCCCAGCTACTCAGGAGGCTGAGGCAGGAGAATCGCTTCAGCCCAGGAGTTGGAGGTTGCAGTGAGCCGTGATCACATCACTGCATGCTAGTCAGGGTACTAGAGCAGGACTCTGTCTCAAAAAAACAAAAAAACCAAACCATGTATGGTTCTTCCAGGGACAGACGAGCAAGCAATTGAGGATGTTGTGGCCAACCGTTCCAATGATCAGAGGCAAAAAATTAAAGCAGCTTTTAAGACCATGTATGGCAAGGTATGTTTTTTTGTTGAGTGCACATCAATAGTGGCCCCAGTGAACTCTGCATTCATGTCAGATTGGAATGCTATCTTTTTATTAGTACCTGTGATATAGAGAGATAACTAGTCTTTAGAGACCTCAGAAGTGGTATATTCGCTTCTCTCAAAAGCGTTTTTTGGCCGGGCGTGGTGGCTCATGTCTGTAATCCTAGCACTCTGGGAGGCCAAGGCTGGAGGATCACTTGAGGTCAGGAGTTTGAGACCAGCCTGAGCAAGAGCAAGACCCCATGTCTACTAAAAAGACAAAAAATTAGCCTGGTGTGGTGGTGCGTGCCTGTAGTCCCAGCTACTTGGGAGGCTTGAATGATTCTTTGTTTCATGTATCTCTTGTCTTTGTATCTGTTACAGTGGTAGAACTGCAGGAAGGATTTGTTATTAGTCAGGCGTGGTGGCATGTGCCTATACTCCCAGCTATTTGGGAGGCTAAGGAGGAAGGATCGCCTGCACCCAGGAGTTCCATACCAGCCTGCGCAACATAGTAAGACCTCATCTCAAAAACGAGAAAATAATTATTATTGTTTATTGATAGAATGAATAAAAGTCATCTGCTTGAGTGTAACAAACTTTAAACATATATATTTCTTACATAATCAGATTTGAAATTCATGGTTTTGTAAAGCAATTCTATTTCAGTTTTCCATATATTTTTTTTAAAGACATTGTCTTTTCTCTGTTGCCGAGGGTGGAGTGCACTGGTGTGATCACAGCTCACTGTAACCTTGATTTCCTGAACTCAAGCGATCCTACTGCCTGGGCCTCCCAAAGTGCTGTGATTACAGGCATGAGCCATTGTACCCAGCCCCATATTTTCTAGAAAAAGATGTCAGTTACAAATTTTGGAGAGCACATGTACTAAGCTTGTGTTTGTAATTAAATAGGATTTAATCAAAGATCTCAAATCAGAGTTAAGTGGAAATATGGAAGAACTAATCCTTGCCCTGTTCATGCCTTCTCCATATTATGATGCCTGGAGTTTACGGAACGCAATGCAGGTACTACATGTCATTTATTGTATTTTACTCTATTTTGTATGTAAAACCCCACAAATGATCACAGTTCTGAATTTACAGTGATAAAGCAATACATTATTTCACATCATCCGAATATATAGTTTTTCGATTCTAGAGAACAAAGAAGTACTGGTGAAACAGTAAGATTTAATTACTTCTAGAAATTTTGATTATCTTTTGTATAATTCTCCCTTCTTTTCACATAGGGAGCAGGAACTCAGGAACATGTATTGATTGAGATTTTGTGCACAAGAACAAATCAGGACATCCGAGAAATCGTCAGGTGTTATCAATCAGAATTTGGACGAGACCTTGAAAAGGACATTAGGTCAGATACATCAGGGCATTTTGAACGTCTACTTGTATCCATGTGCCAGGTGAGTGTAGCATGAATGTATGTGTGTTGGTGAAGGGCACTTTATTGCCAGTGAGCATTCTTTATTCCTTTTGATATTTAGCAATCTTGAAATATTGCCATTTTTAAGAGGGGCAACACTGAATCCAGTGTACAGATGTCTTTGTAGTTACTACTAGGATTTATTTCTGCAAATCTGGCTTTTGTAAGGAATCAGAAATTAACATCTTTAAGGTTGTATGGAATCAGAAACCAGCTTGAGGCTCTGTGGCTAGAATGAAACTGTTCATTCATTCATTCATTCATTTACTTTGGCTCATAGTCTCACTCTGTCAGCCAGGCTAGAGTGCAGTGGCATGGCCATGGTTCACTGCAGCCTTGAACTTCTGGGCTCAAGTGATCTTTCCACCTCAGCCTCCATAGTAGCTAGCTCTACAGGCATGCACCACTACGCCACCCTAATTTGTTTTTATTTTTTGTGGAGAGGAGGTCTTGCTATGTTGCCTAGGTTGGTCTTGAACTCCTGGCCACAAGCAGTCTTCCCACCCCGACCTCCCAAAGTTCTGGGATTACAGGCGTGAGCCATTGCACCTGGCCTGAAAGTGTACATACAAGCTTAGCACTGTCCTGCCTATTACACTGGCCATTAACTGAAGACATGCAGGACTGCTATGGAAGTGCTAGAGGAGATGAGGACTGTGTGAGAAGAACCAGAAATGCAGAAAAATGTTTCAGTGTTCACAGTAATACTGTGATTAGCACCTTCCTTATTCTAATTCCGCAGATGTGCTAGAGAATTGACAGAAAATACTCTAATTTAGGATATTTGGAATGGTATTAGGAACACACTTGGAATGAGATGATGCAAAAGACTATTCCATATCAGAAGTTATTGGCTATCCTGCTAGTGCACAAGGTTGGACTATCTTGAGAGATCTAAAAGCAGAGGAGGGGCTCCTAAGATCCAGGGGAAGTAGTTGCAGCTTGGGTAGAGTACAAAAGTGAGTGGATGTAGAAATGAAAATAAAGCAAATGGGCTGAAGGAAACTGAATTTACCTACATCACAGTAACAGAGCAGGGAAGCAGGTTAGGATGTCAAAGGCACAAGAAGAAAAAACAGGAACAGACATTTAATGCTAAAGAATGATTATTAAGACTTTATATGAGGTGCATAGTTTTTCTTTATGCAAGGTTCAAGGTCATACCTTTTTGAGGGTATGAGCAGAAGAGTATCTAGGAAAATGAGATTATACATAGTATGTATAAATCGAAAGACAAAAATTGGGGGAGTCTTTCCTGAGCAACTTTACCTGTGCTGTATTCAGTTGCCCATTTAGAATATGCCTGTACATATTCCTTGTGCCAGGTGCTTTTCAGAAGACAGTTCTCCACCTTCAAGGAGCATCTTTCCAATCTTTCTGTTTTGCTCATTGAATGGTCACTGAGACTCTAGAGGGCAGCCTTTCCTTGGTTTGGGTTTCTGTTTTTTTTTTTTTTTTTGAGACAGAGTCTTACTTTGTTGCCCTGGCTAGAGTTAGTGCCTGGTGTCAGTCTAGCTGACAGTAACCTCAAACTCCTGGGCTCAAGCAATCCTTCTGCCTCAGCCTCCTGAGTAGCTGGGATTACAGGCATGCGCCACCATGCCCGGCTAATTTTTCTATATATATTAGTTGGCCAATTAATTTCTTTGTATTTATAGTAGAGACAGGGTCTCACTCTTGCTCAGGCTGGTTTCGAACTCCTCACCTCCAGCGATCCTACCGCCTCAGCCTCCCAGAGTGCTAAGATTACAGGTGTGAGCCACCGCACCCGGCCCTGTTTTATTTTTGAGAGAAACCAATTGCCTCTTCCCTTCCACCTTGCCTCCTATCCCAGGAGAAGAATTTGGTATACAACCTGGCATAGTCTTGCAGAACTTGAGTTATTTATAGCTTCTAAAAAGCTCATGTGTCATTTTTATATATGTAGTTGTAATATATACGTATTAAGGTTACACTTAGATGAAGGAAAGGAAGTTTATGAAGCCTCCATATTATATCCTTCCTCCCTAGACTTACACTCCTACAGGGCAGGGACCTTGTCTGTCTTGTGTCCCTGCCACCTAACATAGTGCCTGACACAAAGAAAGTGCTCAATACCTTTCAGTTGTATGAATGAATACAAAGTAGAACTCAGTACAATGCATGTTGATTTTAAATCCAAGCTAAGGAGAGTTATACTTTCTCCATTTCAGTGGTAGTGTATATCTCCTAGTGGAAATATTTTTGTTTAAACGTTTTCTGGTTTCATTTAGCCCTCAAATCTCTGAAAGCCGTCATGTTAACATAACATCATTAAACCATGATCATTTATTTAAATCGTCCCTTTAAATCCTGAAGTGACTAGGTTGGAACAAAAATTTAATAGAACTTTGATTTCCTTCTACGAATTCCTGCCTTCATCCTTTGCAGGGAAATCGTGATGAGAACCAGAGTGTAAACCACCAAATGGCTCAGGAAGATGCTCAGCGTCTCTATCAAGCTGGTGAGGGAAGACTCGGGACAGACGAATCTTGCTTTAACAGGATCCTTGCCACGAGAAGCTTTCCTCAGCTGAAAGCTACCATGGAGGCTTACTCTAGGGTAGGAGCTTTTCTTTGGAGGATTTGGCTTCTATTCTAAGATGTGAAAATATTTAACCCTGTAATTTTTCTTTGCAGATGGCTAATCGAGATTTGTTAAGCAGTGTGGGCCGTGAGTTTTCCGGATATGTTGAAAGTGGTTTGAAGACCATCTGTAAGATGCTTTTGTGCTTTGTTTTTAAATGAATGAGAACTTTGAATAGTCCGTTCCCATTAAGTGATGATAATTAATACAGCCTCCTGGAATCTGCTTAGGCAGTAGTAGCTGGGCTAATCCTATATTTTTTAATGCAATTTCCTATGAATGGTTGGTGTGATCACATAAGGTTTTTTGGGGATTATTTGGTCTTTATAGGATTTTCTTGGGAACTATTCGACAGTATCTCATAGACTGTAGCACTAGTGCCACAGAAAACATTTTGAGCCCCCAAAACATATCTTTTAAGTACTCAGCCCTATGAGACGCTTTTTCCTTTTGAAATTAAACGATTTCTGGTAGTCTAACACTAGATGTCTAACAAAACGGAAATTTCATTCCCATTGATAATATAGGACTAAAGAGAATATTAGTAATACATTGGTATTAGCAATGGAATGTCTTATAAATGTTACTACAGTAATTGTAGTGAAAGTAAAAACATACAGTTATTACATCTCTGTCATCTGCAGGGGGAGCCTGCTAAGCGAATTTTCCAAAGAGAAACCTGTCAGATTTCTGAGCATCGCTCTGAAGTCTTTGCTCAAATCTGTGTTGTCTCTTTTAAATTGGTTGTATCTGATATCCTTCTCTGAGCCAGATGGTAGTCTTATCTTTTAGAATTCAGATTTTTGTCATTATTCCTTTTGGTGTGAGGTATTACTAGGGTATAGATGCTACAGATTTTCATACTGTAAAGGGAAAACATGTACAGAATCTAAGTCCCTGCAACCATGGAGAGAAAATAGGATTTATTGGCCAAAGGGGATCTTCTAGAATTGAAGGCAATCTGTCGGATGCAGTTAGGAAGTTGGATGCTGAGAAAAATCAAGGGGGGGAGACCATCCCCAACTCGCCTCAGGTTTTAAGATAATTGCATAGCTAATAATTAATGGTGGTAGCCTGGACACAGTGGCTCTTGCCTGTAACCCCAGGAATTTGGGAGGCCAAGGCAGAAGAATCCCTTGAGGCTAGCAGTTCGGCACCAGCCTGCGCAACATAGCGAGACCTCATCCTTACAAAATATTTTAAAAATTAGCTGGGCAAGGTGGTGTGTGTCTGTAGTCCCAGCTACTCAGGAGGCTGAGGCTGAGGCAGGAGGTCTGAGCCTAGCAGTACGAGGTTGGAGTGAGCTATGATAGCATAACTGCACTCCAGCCTGACACAGTGAGATTCTGTCTCTTTAATATAAAAACAAAAAAAAAAAAAAAAAAAAAAAAAACAGGCCTGGCATGGTAGCTCAGGCCTGTAATCCTAGCACTCTGGGAGGCTGAGGGGAGGCGGGAGGATTGTTTGAGCTCAGGAGTTGAGAGCAGCCTGAGCCACAGGGAGACCCGTCTCTACTCAATAAAATAGAAATTAGCTGGACAACTAAAAATATATATATATAAAAAATTAGCTGGGCATGATGGCACATGCCTGTAGTCCCAGCTACTCAGGAGGTTGAGGGAGGAGGATCGCTTGAGCCCAGGAGTTTGAGGTTGCTGTGAGCTAGGCTGATGTGACGGTACTCTAGCCAGGGCAACAGAGTGAGACTCTATCTCAAAGAAAAAAAAAAAAAGAAAAGAAAAGAAAGATTCACAGGCAGGCTGGAAGTGGTAAATGAAGTTGGAGGGATAGAGCTGCTTGTCAGGTCATGATTCCATTTCTGAAGCATCTCTACCTTGCAGTGCAGTGTGCCCTGAACCGCCCTGCCTTCTTTGCTGAGAGGCTCTACTGTTCTATGAAAGGTGCTGGCACAGATGACTCCACCCTGGTCAGGACTGCGGTATCTCGAAGTGAGGTGAGTCAGGGCTTTTTCTGTTGGGTCTCTCTTGATGTTGAATGCTGATTTCTTAAAAGTTTCTCAATTGGTTGTTAGTTCCTCAGGAATGATGTTAAGAGCTCTTTGTCACTGGTGAGAGCGGTTGATACTAATATGAAGTACAGTATCACTTTGTTTGGCTGTGGGAGAGGCTTGTATTAGTGAAACAAGCCGATGTGCCTTGATGAAGATAAAAACCAAGAGGTTTTCCTACTTGAGAAGGTCTGTGGAGATCGCTAGTTTATGGGAAGTTGGAAGACACTTATCTTTCGATTTTTACTTTGTGTATGTAAAAAATTACATGAAAGAGCTATGTAAATTAATCCTATTGGATATCAAAGTTCTCAAAATTTAGCATCCCTTATTAATAGTAAAACGATTTTTAAAAAATTTATTATCTTTACCTAAATATAGCCTTAGATTTTTTTACCTTAAATTTATATATTTATCGGACTTTTTTAAATTTAAAGAACATAGACTATTAGATTTTACTAAAGAAGGTAGATCATTTTTTTAAGAAAATCAACATATGTTTTGAAAAACTTTTATTTTTCTTAGGCTTAAATTTTTTAAGTAGGATCTTTTTTTTAAGTTGTGATATAATATGCGTAACATAAAATTTACTGTTTTAACCATTTTTAAGTTGCATTTAGTACATTCGTATTGTTGTGCAACTGTTGCCATCATCCATCTCCAGAACTCTTCATCTTGTAAAACAGACTCTACCCATTAAATAATAACTTCCTTCCCTATGTTTGACTTCTCTAGGTCCCTCATATGAGTGGAGTCATTCAGTATTTGTCCTTTTGTGACTGGCATCTTTAACTTAGACTAATGTCCTTAAGGTTTATCCATGTGGTAGCATGTGTCCAAATTTCCTTCCTTTTTAAGGCTGAATGATAGTCCTTATGTATATACTGCCTTTTGTTTATTCATTCATGTGCCTAGACACACTTGGGTTGCTTCCACTTTTTGGCTGTTGCGAATACCGCAACGAGTATGGGTGTACAAATACCTGTTCCAATCCCTGCTTTCACTTCTTTTGGGCATACCCAGAAGTGAAATTGCTGGATCATATTGTAATTCTATGGGGCTTTTTTGTTTTTCAGTTTGTTTATTTTTAGGAACCACCATACCATTTTCCACAGCAGCTGCACGCTTTTCCACAACGCACAAGTGTTCCCATTTCTTGACATCCTCACCAACACTTAATATTCTCTATTTTGATAATAGCCATCCTACCACATGTTTGTGAAATGACTAATTTTGGGATTAATAGATGAAACTAGTACCACCCTTATCCAATATTTTATAGAGCAGTGAATCAGACCTTTATTGGGTATGAGTGTAAGCTATAAAATATCAGTCACCTGTTGATTTTTCCCCCCTCAGTTTTCATCATTATTAAGATCTTGTCATTATTTAAATACCAGTTTTCTTTTGACAGATTTTTTCTAACATCAGAAATATCATTTCTTATGCAGATTGATCTTGTGCAGAAAAAACAGATGTTTACTCAGATGTATCAGAAGACCCTGGGCACAATGATTGCAAGTGACACGAGTGGAGATTATCGAAGGCTGCTTCTGGCCATTGTGGGCCACTAGGAAGGATTTTCTTTTTGTACATGAATGAAGCTATTCATAGTTTATCCTTCAAAGCAGTGACTGACCTGCATGCAGCAATATCAACCATCACCTAACCAAAAGAGGTTTTTACTAAGGACTGTGTCAGGGTAATGTGCTTGGTCAGCACATGTTATTGCCTTAATTCTAATTTTTTCTTGATATACAATCAATGTGAAGCCATATCACTATGATGTAGTAATATCACAATGTTTGTTAAGCTTCATTCTCACTAATCTTATTCTAATCAGGATGACAAATCGAATAAAAACTTAAAACAATCTATAATTCTGTGTAATAATGTATAATTTTTTTTTCCTGCTTAATTCTAAAGTTTAATGGTTAAGAATAGGTAACAGCCCAGAAATCATTCCTAGCAAGTCTCAGGGAAAATAATTAAAATAACCAAATAGGCTGTCAAAGGAAAATATCTGCAGTATGAGACAGCATAAGAATTTCACTTTTCAGAAGAAAATGATTAGCTGTTTGCAAAGTTACAATTGACTAAATCCATATCACCATAATTTTAGGACTTAAAATATGTACCAGTGGCATGAAATTTTACTTGCCATAAAGAAGCTTAGGACATAGTCACATGGTTAGAGGCATTTGAAAATGAAATAAAGGTCAATGACAAATAGCCATGCATAAAGCAATTAGTTAAAATAGTAACAGATCTGAAAATGTAAGGAGACACACGATTGCTGCTCAAAGAAAAGTCTGCTTTAAACCGAAGACATAAGCATGAGGCTTAGTGCCGCAGATCATATCCAGTTTGGATGGTTTTTTAAAAGTTTTTAAGACATCACAGATCTGCTGGATAAAGCAGGAAGTCAAACCTAAGGAAATCACAAGCAAAAGGCATTCACTTTATTTTAGCAAAAAGAAAATCTCCAATACCTGTGAAAGAAATTGTTCATATAGTAGTTGAGTTCATTAAAACACTGCAAGTCTACATAAATTGGATACTTGCCCCTTCTGATTTCTCCATCATCTCCTGCAGGGCCCAGACAGAGAGGGACTGTTCTAACATGAAGGTGCAGATGGAGGGGTCTGAGTGGACATTCTGCACAGAAACAGAGAAAGCCATTAGCGTCACCATCATGCAGCATCCAGACACAGTTTACCTTAATATGCTCTGGGTTCCTTCATAGGAAAAGTGAGAGTACTCGTCAACTCTATACTATGAGCTTCTAGATCAGCATACACTGTCATTACTGCTCACATTTAATGCATTTTTAAAATCACAGATAACAACAGCTGCCACTTAGCAAGTGCTTACTGCGGTGCACATTGCACTTAACTCCTGTGGTCACCTATACTAAGGATTATTACTAAGACTGGACAAGAAACAGAGAAGTTGGATCATGATGGTCCACTAGGCACAGGTAGCATGTGCCTCCTCCCTGGAAAAACCAGAATAGTAATCAGATTCTCCCATTTCAGACAGGTCATCTAGGAGAGACCACCAGGTTTCACCCGACAAGTGACAGGAAGCACCAAAAGCGGGTAAGGATAGGGTTCAGGGCATCTTGCCCGGTCAGGGGCTCACAGCTGGGAGAAGCTGCTGGAAACAAAGAGTCAGAAGACGCCCCCAGGGGATCTCCAAGCTCGTCCAGTCTCCAAGAGGAGCTTTCAGGATCTTGGTTACAAGAGAACCTCCCGACCCACGCAAGTTGCAGCCTCACATAGGGAGCTACTTGGAGAGTTTCAGAGACGTTGTTCCAGAAAGGGAACCCACGCAGACCCCACAGGCGTCCAAGCCTGGAGCAGCTTGAGCCAGGCGCCATATTCTGAGAGCCAAACGCCAGGCGGCCCGGCAAGCCTGCGCGCAGCCCCGAGGAGGGATGGAGAAGCCCGACACTGCCACGCGCCCCTGAGAGGGTCCCCACCGCCGTGCTGGGGGCTGCTGTTGAGCCCGAGATGTGAGAAGACAGCACTTTCCGTAGTGTCTCACCATGCTGCCGGCTGAGGTGAGGCCCCACCCCTTCGGGCCACAGGTCAAGGCGCCGTTTTGAGACTTTGACGCTGGGCGGTGCCGTCGTGTATAATTTTTTACAAAGTTGCTGAGAATTCTGCCTTCCACAATCTTACCAGGTCTATTGGCTAGTTAGAGTTGGTAGTATGTCAAAACTGTATTCCTTTTTTTAAAAGTTCATCTCTTTCGACCTAGAGGAGTAATTTGCATCTTATTTTGAGTAAATTGGTATTCTATATTCGTAAACACATTGCATGTAGAGAATAGATTAGTATTACCTATAGCACTTTTTAAAAAAGGGTCAAATGTTTATATGCTTAAAATACAGACTACTTTTTTCCAGTTGTTTTCTTAATTGAAGTATGATTGATAAATTTTGCATATATTAAAGGGATACAAGATGATATTTTGATATAAGTATTCCTTGTGGAATGATTCACACAATTAAGCTCAAGCTATTTATCTGTCACCTGACATCATTTTTCACCTTGTGGTGAAAACACTTAAAATCTACATTAGAAAATTGTGTTACAATACCTTATTATTATTTAAAGTTACTATTCTTTACATTAGAGCTCTAGAACTTAAATACATATGATAAATGAAAGGTTTTTTTTCTCTATGTAATTTCTTTTACTAATAACTGAAAGTTTCTACCCTTTGACCAGCATCTCCTCATTTTCCACACCCCCACCTCTTACAACTACCACTCTGTCCAGGTTTGACTATTTTAGGTTGCATATACAAGCAATATGCAGTAATTCTTTGTGTCTGGCTTCTTTCACTTAGCACAATGTTCTCTAACATCTTCATAGTTCTTCAACATTGTCACAAATGGCAGGATTTTCTTCTTAAGATTTTCTTGTTAAAGGCCAAATGATATTCCATTGTGTGTATATATACTCCATAGTCTTTATCCATTCATCTACCAGTGGACAGTTGGGTTGTTTCCATATCTTAGCTATTGTGAGTAATGATGCAGTGAACATGGGAGCGCACATATTTCTTGAGATACTGATTTCTTTTCCTTCAGGTATGTACCCAGAAGTGGTATTGCTGGATCATTTAATGTAGTTCTGTTTTTAACTTTTGAGGAAGCTCCATACTGTTTTCCATAATGGCTGTACCAATTTACATTCCTATCAACAGCAAACAGGTTCCCTTTTCTTCACATCTTTGCAAACCACTTACATGTTTTGTAATAGCCAATATAACGGGTGTGACTATCCCATTTGTACTTTAAAAGAATATTTATGCTACTGCTGTTAGGTAGAGTGTTTTGGATGTGTCTATTAGATCTAGTTGGTCTATTACATAAGGCCTCTTTTTCCTTCTGATTCTTCTGTCCGTTGCTGAGAATTGAGGCATTGGCATCTCCAACTATTATTTCTTTCTTTTTTAAATATTAGATGCTCGATGTATTGTCTTTCTTTTTTTTAAATAGTAGTTACCCAACTACTATTATAAAGCTGTTTCTCCTTTCAATTTTGTCAGTTTTTGCTTCATATATTTCAGTGGTATGCTAGGTGTGTAGATGTTTATAATTATCATATCTTACTGTTGTATTGAAGCTTTTATTAACATATAACGTCTTTTGTCCCCTGTAACCTTTTTTTGATTTAAAGTCTATTTTGTCTGATATTACTAGATTTTACTAAAGAGAAAACAACCAAAATATGTTTTGAAAACTTGTGTATTTGTTCTTAGTCTTAAATTTTCTAAGCAGAATCTTTTTCTAAGTTGTGATAAAATATACATAACATAGTTACTATAGACTTCTCGGCTGTCTTTTGGTTAACTATTTGTATGGAGTATCTTTTTCCATCCTTTTACTTTTAATCTGTTTGTGTCTTTGGATCAAAAGAGAATCTTTTGTAGACAGCATACAGTTGGATCACTTTTATCCATTCTTCATTCTTCCAATCTCTATCTTGATTGGTGAGTTTAATCCATTTATATTAAAGTAAGTATGAGAAATTTCTGTCATATTGCTATTTTCTATATTCCTTACTGCTTTTTTGTCCCTCATTTCCTACAATGCTGTCTTTCGTGTTTAGTGTTTTTTTGTAGTGAAACATTAAATTCCTATTCCTTTTGTGTATATTCTATAGCTATTTTCTTTATAATTACCATGAAGATTACTTTTTTAATTTTTTTTTTGAGACAGAGTCTCGCTTTGTTGCCCAGGCTAGAGTGAGTGCTGTGGCATCAGCCTAGCTCACAGCAACCTCAAACTCTTGGGCTACAGCAATCCGACTGCTTCAGCCTCCCGAGTAGCTGGGACGACAGGCATGCAGGACCATGCCCAGCTAATTTCTTTCTATATATATTAGTTGACCAATTAGTTTCTTTCCATTTATACTAGAGACTGGGTTTAGCTCTTGCTCAGGCTGGTTTCGAACTCTTGACCTCCAGCAATCTGCCCTCCTTGGCTTCCCAGAGGGCTAGGATTACAGGCGTGAGCCACCGCACCGGCTGAGGATTACTTTTATTAGTAATGTCCTAAAGCTATACCACAGTGGAGGATAAAGCAACTCCATCTTGGATGCTAATCTGCCATGTTGACTTATGATTAACTCCTGTTCCAGCAATGTCTTTAAGATTTCTGCTTTATCTACTGTTACCATAAATCCTCTTAGGATAACTTTGACCATAAATCCTGCCCTTAGGCAGATTCATATAGCATTCTTGCTTACCCTGAGGGGTCAACTTCAATTGTCCCACACATTCTTTCGCCATGGTATATAAGCCCTGGGTCCTTGGTGGGTAATGGCTCAGGGATCCACCATCTTGTCTTGCTGCTACCGGGAACGTGGCTTCTGTTGGTGAATCCCTATTAAATGTTTCTGAGAAAATGTATTTGTCAGCCTCTTTCTTTGGCCTCAGCTTCCTTGGACTTTGAGGGTAGGTTTGCATAGACCTTACCACAAGACACACTCTAAATTTATACCTGTTTAACTTCAGTAACACCATAGCTAGGCATGGTGGCACGTGCCTATAATCCCAGCTACTGGGGAAGCTGAGGCAGGAGGATTGCTGGAAACCAGGAATTTGTGGTTACAGAGACCTGTGACTGGGCCACGGCACTACAGCCTGGGTAACAGAGCCAAGTCCCTGTCTCAAAAAAAATTTTTTTTAACATTTTTATCACCCCCAGAAAGAAACCCCATACTCAATTAGAAGTCCTTCCTCATCTGTCCCTCTTCCACTCAGCACCTGTCAGCTACTAATCTACTTTCTGTCCCTAGGGATTTGCTATTCTAGGCTTTTCACATGAACGGAATCATAAAATATGTGGCCCTTTGAGTCT